GGACTGCATAGGGCCTGACCACTCACTCCCCACTCTCACTTCTCTGCCCTCGGAGAGGACCAGGACACAGATGTCCCTGGCTCATCCTCTCCTCGTCACAGCCTGGACTATTGCCACCAAACGCCAGCAGACCCGCACTCTCCAGTCTGAGACCTTCACCTCCCACCAGCCACCTCTCAGCAAACCCTGAGCCGGGGGGCCTGGCTGGCCAGGAGGGGGTCCGGGTGTGCAGTGTCGGGACTCTCCCATAACTGGGGGATGGGGGGTGAGACCCCTAGTCCCCATCTGGCAGACAAGGAGAGTGAGGCCCAGGAAAGGTAAGGGCCTGCCCGAGTTCACCCCCAATACAAAGGCAGCAGCTGGTCCCCCTGCTCTTCAGGATGGGTGGCTCTAGGCCCACCCCTAAACCGTGAGCATCTGGGAGCTGAAGGCAGCGGAGCTCCAGCGGACCCTTCACCCATCTGCAGAAAAGCCATACTGGCCCAGCCCTGTCTAGGAAGAGCCCTCAGGACAGGACAGGCTTTCCAGTGCTGTCCAAACCCCATGTCCAGAATGGATGCTCCTCACTGCTTCCTGTCCAGCTTCTCTGGCCTGCTTAGTGCCCATTGGGTGCCCCACGCCATGAGGTCCTGGGCCACCAGCCTCCCTCCCTCCAGTCCACAGGCGGTGGGAAAGCTGACCTGGAGTGTCCTCAGCTCCCACACGGCCACACCCCTGGCCAGCAAGCTTCTGCATGGACGGACCCCTGCTCACCCTCATCCCAAGCACCGCCTCCTCTTCCAGAAGTCTTCCTAGATCTCTGGACCCTCTGTCCAGCCCTTCATTATCAACCAGCTCAGCTCAGGTCGATGGCTACACCTGTGGGGTCCCTGTTCCCCTCAACAAGGTCCTGCTCCCACCCCCAGCAGCGGGTAAAGAGAGAGGGCACAGGTGTGGGCCTGGACAGAGCTGGCTCACCATGCCTGCCTCTGACTAGGCTCGTGCTCCTCAGCCCCCAGGCTGTTTCCCACCCCAGGCCAAGTCCCCAGGCTGGCTCTGCTCTGTCAGACTCACAGTTCCACCAGAAACCTGTGTCTTTCTATCCCTTCTTATACCCTGGCACTGGCCAAGCATGTGTGCTGGCCACCTGTGCCTCCAGAATTGTACCATGTCACTCTCAGGGTAGCCCAAGCCCCCAGGCCAAGGCTCTTCACTCAGCCCCTGGTCCTGACGAGGCACTGCTGGAGGGCCGCCAGGCCTTCCATGGGGACTCCTGGAAGCCTCCGCCTACCAGGCTGGCCCGGCTGGCCAGGCCGAGGCTCCCTGAGCGCTAGGGCCTCACATCCCTTCCTAGGGCCCAGAACACCTGCCCTTCCCCAGTGCCCATCCCCAAAGTACCTCCAGGCTCCCGACCTGCAGCACACGGGGCACACATGCTCCCAGGGCTCCCCTGCTGGCGCAGGACACTCTCTCCAGGTGGGGGTCCAGTGTTGGTTGCTAAGGAGCCTCCTTCCCAGGGCTACACCCCAACAGTCCTGTCCCTGGACCTCAGGTCAGGTGGGCAGGGCTCTGCCTCAGTCCTTTCACCCATTTACAGCTGAAGAGAAGGGAATGACACTTGGCTACACATCTAGAACCGACTGCCACCCCTGCTCTGTGCCCTGGGTGCCTGCTTGCCCAGGGCCCCAGACCTGCCACCCTGTCTTCCTGGGCTGTGGGACAGGCCTCCCGGGTTGGACCCTGTACACAGAACTAAGAAGCCATCATCCAGGCAGGGCCTAGGCAGCAGCCCTGCCCTCACTGTCCCTGCAGAGAACGGGACGCATGCCTGCTGCTTCCTCCAAGAGCCCAGGAGCACCTCCCCTGATCCCAGGGCAGGTGTGCCCCAGGGTGCGACTACCTGGGTTGCCATGAGGGGTGCAGGGAAAATGGCCTCATCTCGCTCTTCCTTCCCTTTCTGTATGCTAGGCCCTGTCCCCACAGTGAGGGATACAGTGGCCACCAAAACAGCAACCCCTACTCTGAAACCTCCTGTCTGCTCTCCCACTGGCTGGCGCTGGGGATGGGGACAAAGGAGGAACAGGGGCAGAGCACATGCACCAGGGCTGCCCTCCCTGGCCCTCCCCACTCCCTGACCTCCGGGGCTCTGGCCTTCTCGCTGGTTGAACTCTGTTAGAGCCAGTGGACAAAGAGCATCCCAGAGGTAGGACATTAGGTGGGACAACAAGAGACCTGGTGCCACTGGAGGAAGTGGAACCACTGACGGGGGCAAGAGCTGAGGACGCTGCTTTTAGGGTGGTCAATGCTCCTGCAGCCTCCACATCGCTGAGGTGTCACAGCTGCTCCAGACACAGACTCAGCTTGCCTCTCCACAGGATCCAGAGGAGCCGCCAGCAGAGGGAGCTCTCAGTAAGTGTTAGCTAATCATCACGATCACTCCCCGTGTTAGTCAGCTTATCTGTCGCTACAACCGAAAGATGTGACAAAAACAATTAAAGGAGGAAAAGTTTATTGGGGATCATGGTTTCAGAGGTCTCAGTCCACAGACAGCTGACTCCATGCTCTGGGCAGAAGGGCGTGGAGGAGGAAAGCAGCTCAGGACCTGGAACCAGGAAGCAGCGAGAGCTCTGCTCACCAGGGAAGAAATGTAACTCCCAGAGGCACGCTCCTGTGACCTGCCTCCTCCAGCCACACCTAGCGGCCTACAGTTTCCACCATTCAGGTGGACTGACGCGCTGGTTACGTCACGGCTGTCAAAACCCAATCATTTCATCTCTGAACTTTCTTTACTGTCTGACACAGGAGCTTTTGGGGGGTACCTCATATCTAACCATACGTCCCTGTTCCACAGACCAAAACTGAGGCCCAGGAGTGTGTGTGAATGACAAAGGGCTGGGAGGGCCCTGCTGGAGAAGTCAGAGGCCAGCCCAGGATGCTCTTGTGCCATGTCATCAGTGCATTTCACCTTGGTGGGAAGATGGGAAAGACACCTGGCTTGAAGGCTGAGGTCATCCCCTGCTGAAGCCCAGGAAGCAGGTGTCAGAGTCCCGAGGACAGGACTGGACTTCAGTCACCTGCCCCATGCCTATGGCTGCCTTTGCTGAATTCCACAAGGTTTTGTGCCTCCCTGCCATCAGTCCCGGGAGCCAAGGGAGAGTTGATAGGGTACCTACGGGAGGAAGCAAGGGCAGATGTCCCCACCCCATTCCCTAATCCTGGAACCCAGAGCACTGCAACAGACAGGACTCCCAGGTCCTGAAGCAGGCCTAGGGGCATGGAAAACTGATTTATGGATGTGGTAAGGGTGCCCATTCTGTTTTCTCACTCTCTCTTTCCTCTGAGAGCCCACATTAGGACCTTCCTATTCTTTTCCTGTGCCCTGAGGCCCACATTTTGAGTTGGTTCAGTCTTTGGAGGAATATTCCCTAAACCCCGAAAATTCTACAAGACTTAAAAAGAGCAGATGGGCTGGCAGCGCCATCTGCTGGCTGCCCTGGGCTCAGTCCCTTGTGAGGAGACCGAGACCTGGGGTGCACTACTGCATGCACCCCAAAACAAATAAGGAAACTGAGGATTAGATGCACCATTCAATAGTGGAGCCAAGATCTGGGGCTAAGACTTGAAATCAGGGGTGCCCTTAAGCCCGATCTCCCTGGGAACAGACACTTGGATACTGTTTCTGGTCCTAGAGGACCAGAATTCCCTCCTTGAGGCTGGGATTTTCAACTCATCGTGCCCGTAGGAGAATCAGGAAAATGTACTCCTGTGCAGGGACCGGTTGGTGAAGGGTGCCCAGAGCGGGCCACACTTCATACACCTAACCTAAAACTGAGCTCATGAATCAAGGAAACAAGACCCCCCGTGGACCCGCGGACTAGAACGGCCTTGGACCAACAAAGAGATGCATTTCAATCTGCTGCATGAGTTGGCCAGAAACTTGTGGACTCGCTTAGTGTTCTCCTGAGCCACGCTGTCCCGTTCCCGTCCCTCCCGTCGTGCCCCGCCCCTTCCTCCCAGCCTATCCCCGCCCCGCGTCGTGCCCTGCCCCGCCCCTCCCAGCTCGTCCCTCCCGCGTTCCCGCCCCTCCCGTTGTGCCCCGCCCCGCTCTGCCCGGCCATTTCCCCTCTCCCCGGACTCGTCTTCCTCTCCCTCTGACCCCCGGACCCCCAGCCGGCCGCCCAGACACCAGGTTCCTCCGTGGCCTGTGGCGGCGCCACCCCCGCTGGCGTGCTGGCGTGTGACCTTAGCACGCGCCTAGGTCCATCCGTCCCTTCCCGAGAGCAGAGCTGCTGGGAAGAGTCAGGAGTCCGGGTGGGCGCTGGCGGCTGACCGCCACCGTCGTCCCAGGGCTCCCCAGCGCAGGTTCCGCGGGCCCAGCTCAGTTAGCCAGAGGCTCGGGGCAGTGGTGGGTGTCCGCC